TAATTATCTTTAAAAAGGCAATGCAAATGCCATGAAGAGGAAAAGTTGAAAAGATCATCCGCACAAATCTTTCATCATCATCTCTCACAAGGATCCCAACCCAGGTCCATTTGAAGTACACAAACAACTGAAGAAATCCTTGGTATATCATGTTTTCTTTTGGCACCATGTGATAGAAGAAAAAGGATTCACTTTGATCTGGCATCTCTGGATGTGATCCATATATTAACTACAGGAATAAGAAAATTAATAGAAGCTTAGAGAAATGAAAGAAATGAAGAAATATTTGCTAAACTAGCAGGTGCACCAAAGCTGCTCTACTTTGGGAGATAATTCTTAAGCATTTAACAAATTTCTAGCAAATTTGGTATTGATAACATTACATTTCAATAACATGCTTGCATTTCAGATTGGTTCATTAGGATTTCCAGAATGTTTTCTGGGAATTTTTTTTAAATACATCAAAATTGGTTTGTTGGCTGGTTGGTTTGTTGATTGGTTGGTTTGCTGGTTGACTGGTTAAAATTTAACTTGAGAGATCTCAGATTCTCTCTGACCTTGATTGTTTTATTGCAGACATTTCATTACTCAAACTTCTTAAATCAAAAATTAACTTGATTTCAATTGAAAACTATCTTCAAGGACAGTTCCTGGTCTCCTACCTCAGAAAAGGGAAAAGGAAAAGCCATGTATAGTAAAGCTTACTGAGTCAGAAGATGACTTTCTAGCTCTCCTTCATTGAATATCTTGACTTTTTAATGATTTATAATCGTCTTTTCTGGTTTCAATCACTGTAAATTGTTCAAAAAAATTTGGTGTTGCAATAAAATTTCTTATTACTAAACAACTGTCTTTTTTCTAATTTCATTGGGGCACTCTTGTAAAGATCATGATCCTTTCCTTACAATCAGTATAAATTTATTATCCACATTGCCTCAAGCTTTAATAATTAGTTTTCTTTATATGCTTTATTAATCAGTATAAACCAAGTAAATATCAAGCACACATTAGCATGCGTAGACTTTACATAGGTGTAAAAAGTTCAGAAAAATCTACTTGACTTCATAAGAACTCACCATTCACCACACACATCCTACCTGTGGAAGTTTGTATAGCCTCGAGATATCTGCCATATCAATAGAGATTTCAGAATAAAGAGCCCCAATGATTGTGACCAAAGTGTTCTGGAAGCCACACGTATAATTGGGAATCATTCTCTTCAGAGGTGAAAAAAGTTCCATTGTGGCATGATAAATCCATTTTCTACCATAGCTGTCAAAAATATTGATGCCCAAAGTAACATTGGACAAAATCTGAGGGTTTTCATTGATCTCTTTTACAGCAAATATCAAAGCCAAAATATGCTGATAAAACTTAGTCTGGACTCTGAAATAACAATCGTAGGTGATAAAAGAAACATCTTATACATAAGATAAACTTTCTAACAAATATATGGCCCATCCAAATATTTTGCCTTTGAAAACAATAATCCATGTGTTATGCATTGTGTACCAAGTATTGCACATAATTTAGCTTTGTATAGTTTTTGAACAGAAAACGTAAACCTCAATATTTTAAATGCTTTTCAATTTTAACAAAGATCTGAAGATTTCCTATTCTGAAAAATCACAATAATAAATTGTGTCAATAAAATATGTTATTAGTAGTCTGGCCTAGTGAGAAGAATTTTTTAAAATTTATTAAGAAAGAGAATATCAATTCTCTAAGCAAAGGAAGGACTCAAAAAATTTGCAATTATAAAAATGTCCTAAAACTCTTAGTATATCCTTGGAATATTCTGATGCACTGTTTTGAAATCTGTTTTATTTTTAACATTTTAACCTCTTTTACTTTCTTTTATTTAACCAATTAAAAAATGGTGCACTCAACCGCAGGATTTCTGTGACTTTAATCTTCAGCTAGTAAATTGAAGCAAATATTTCTAATTCCTTTAAGAACCCAGGTAAATAAAGCAAGGCATGTACATTTGAATGAGAGAGAGAGAGAGAGAGAGAGAGAGAGAGAGAGAGAGAGAGAGAGAGAGAGAGAGAGAGAGAGAGAGAGAGAGAGAGAAGGTAATTCTAGTATGTTGAAGAGTATCACAAATGTAAATATAATTTAGAATTTCTTACAACAAACAATGGGATGGGGACACTTACATGACTTCACCAATGAATGAAAGATGGGGATCTTCCAAGAAGTTTTCTAGTTCTGTAGGCATGAACATAACGGAACTAATGACACCAATGATGAACTCACCAGGTTGGAAATAATTATGAGAAATAGGGACAGTATCAGCAACAATGCAATTTCTCATGTCACATTTACAAACCATGTGAGATAAAAACAAGAATAAAATAATCATGGTCAGTATTCCAGTTGCATATTAGAGTTTGTCTGATAATGGTTTAGAGTCTCCAAAAATATATTAGAGTGATCTGCCTTGCCATGCCACCCTCACACTATTCTCAAGAATTTTGAAATCTTGAATTTTCCTTATCAGGAATAAACCTGATAGGACATCATCTGTCTTTAGATTCAAGTTACAGATGAGGAACTGCCAGGGATTATTGATATTATTCATAAAGTCTTAATCCTTGTTTGTTATAAATTGCTAGGGAACCCTTGAGTGTTTAATAATAGCATTTTTGATAATTATAGATAGTGGGAAGAAATGTCTTTAGATTTCCATTTCTCTGAGTTTTCTCACTTGTACATACAGTAAACATCTTTGCTAGTAGAACAACAAATGTCAGTTTTAAATGAGCCAATGTTACAGAAATTTTAAAAAAGATTTGTGTACCAAAGATGAACATCTTATTGTTAAGATATATAAGTTGTTATTGACAATGAATCAAGAAAATGAATATGTTAAATACTGTATGATTAAACGGGCAAAAATGGATATATTATTATGCTTGCACAATTGAAAAATATGTAGAAAATTTGCATTGTCTTATAATTTGAAATAAATGTTTATATGTTGGTATTTAACACCTGAAAAACTGTTAAACAAATACTAGAAGGTTAAATATCAGAAACATCAGCAATGTGACAGTATTTTTTACCATTTATGGTGGACCTTTAAAATTACTAAGAAATATTAGGATCAAGTTGGTTTGCTGATTTAGAAGATTTTTAATGCTGATGTACAGTTGAAAGCACTGTAATGCTGTAATGCTGATGTACAGTTGAAACCACTTTTAGGATTGATATAGAGACTGAAAGAAAATAAGGGACTTGGTTCTTATATATGACAATTGCTTCAAGGCTTCTATTTGCATAAAGATGGAAGGATATATGAACTCCCACAATGGAAGAATGGATCATGAACTTAATGGGACTAGCAGAGATAGAAAAATTGATTGCTTAAAGATAACAATTTAACTGCTTTTCTTTCTGCATGAAAACCAGATTTAAATTTCTGCTTGGTAAAAATAAAAATCAAGTTTTGACTTTGAGATTTGATGATTAAATGTTTTCATTATAGTATTATGGTGCATTGTTGGAGTTTAATAGATATACATCTGATTTTATATATTTTATGTACTGGATATTATATACACTTACGGAATTGTTATTATGATTCATTTATGAGTTATTTATTTTATTTAGACTAAAAGATCATGATATATACAGTTTTATTCTTTGATTGTTTAATATGAATATCTGTTATATTTTAATTATATTTGTTTTTGTTAAACAAAATAAGAATGCATTAGGGTCATTCCATGTCAAGTGGTCTGATTTCAGAAAAGTGCCCTGCTCAACCATCACAGATTTTGATGAAATTTTGTGTGAACATGCACACATGTCCCCATAAATGTTGGTAAAGTGTTATATTTGCCAATACAATACCTGTGGAGATAATCATTTGTTTGACCCCATACCACAGATATGCCAGAGATATTATGTCTCAAAGTTGCTAGAATCAAGATCACACGAGGTATTAGTATTGCTTTATAAAACCCTAGTAAGACCACACCTGGAATACCGTAGCCAATTTTGGTCACCATATCACAAAAAAGATGTTGAGAGTTTGGAAAAAATTCAGAGAAGAGCAACTAAGATGATCAAAGGCCTGGAGACTAAAACATACGAAAAACGGCTGCAGGACTTGGGTTTGGCTAGTCTAAAGAAAAGAAGAAATAGGGGAGACATGATAGCAGCATTCCTGTATTTGAGGGCTGCCACAAAGAAGAAGGCATCAAACTATTCTCCAAAGCACCAGAGGGCAGGACAAGAAACGATGGTTGGAAACTGATCAAGGAGAGAAACAACCTGAAATTAAGGAGAAGTTTCCTGACAGTGAGTACAATTAACCAGTGGAATAGCTTGCTCCCAGAAATCATGGGTGCTCCATCACTGGAGAGTTTAAAAAAGAGGCTAGATAGTCACTTGTCTGAGATGGTATAGGTTCTCCTGCTTGAGCAGGGGTCTGGACTAGAAGACCTCCAAAGTCCCTTCCAGCTCTATTCTATTCTATTCTATTCTATTCTATTCTATTCTATTCTATTCTATTCTATTCTATTCTATTCTATTCTATTCTATTCTATTCATTGCTATAGAATATGGGATATTGAGTAAATGGCAAAGAATATGGAAGGGAGGGGGAAGGAAGGAAGGAAGGAAGGAAGGAAGGAAGGAATTCTTCTGACTGTGACTCAGTCTACAAAATCTAATTGGGTATTTTCATGCTCTCCTATTATAGGATGTTTAAAAAATGAATATTGAATCAATAAACAGTTTGAATCAATTTGGATTGTCAATAAATTTTAGTCTGAAAAATAAAAAAAAAATCACATTCTTCAAAACAAATGAAATGAAGGCTGCTTCAGAGGCTATAAATATATTTTCTATGATAAAATAATTCCAGTTTTAAGATTTACATTTTACATTTATTTATTACCTCACAAAATAATACATGAGAGATGAATATAAATGATACAAATAATACAGTTATGAAATAATGAATAAGAGAAATATTGAAAAGGGTAAATTTATGTGTTTATTACCATTTTTTTTCTTTTAATGAGTTGCTCTCTATTATTTAACTCTGGCCTAACAATGATTACATAACATTTTGGGAAATATATGCAGATAAGAAACCCACTACTTGAGGCCAAAATAGAGAAAACCTCCACAGCCACCATGTATTTGCCTTTGGTGCTCAGGTAGGAAGGAACAAAAGACAGCCATACACTGCAGAAGATCAATGTGCTGAATGTGAGACATTTGGCCTCATTGAAACTACTGGGGAGATTCCTGGAGAAAAAAGCTACTGTGAAACTGGCAGCTGCTAGGAAGCCCATGTAACCTAGGACACAGTAGAAAAAGGTAGCTGAACCTTCGTTGCACTGCAGTACAATTTCCTCAATTTCTGAATGAGTGTCAACTTCAGGGAAAGGGGGAAAGGTGAGGAGCCACACTGTACAGATGCCTACTTGAATCAGGGAACAAGAAAGAACAATAGAGGTGGCCAGTCCTCTTCCCACCCATTTTCTCATCCTGGATCCTGGCTTGGTGGCCATGAATGCCATAACTACAGTGATGGTTTTTGCCAACACAGAAGACACGGCTACTGAGAAAATGATGCCAAAGCTAATTTGTCGGAGGAGACATATTATCTTGCCTGGTGCAATAAGGAATTGCAGTGAGCAAAGGAAGCAGAGGAGGAGGGAGATGAGTAGAACATAGGTGAGATTTCGGTTATTGGCCTTGATGATAGGAGTATGGTAATACTTCAAAAATGTTACCAGCACTCCAAATGTGCAGAAGGAAAGAAAAAGTGCCAGAATGACTAAGGTTATCCCCATTGGTTCTTTATAGGATAAGAAAGATATTTTCTTGGGAAGACATGAATCTTTATTCTTGCTTGGGTATTGTTCTTCTGGACATTCAGAACAATCTTGCATGTCTGGAATTTAACAATATAATTTTATGTGCTCATTATTTTATGCATTATTTATATGCATCTAATTATTTTACCTTTGTAATATAATAAACAAAAAATGGACAAAACAGCAATATAATCAAGATTGTTGTTGTTGTTGTTATTAATCAACAAAAATACACAAATTCTTTTGAAAAATGAGAATGATAGAATAAAACAAAGAACCACAACATACTAAAAAGTGATTATGATATTGCAATGTACTTTGGTATCCTCGATTGCTCTTGTTCATCTAATTTTCTACTGAGCCATTAATGACTTACTAAGGAGAATTTAGAATGATTATCAGTTGCCACTTTATGCTTGCTTCACTATTGCTTCGTACTAGGCTGTCATGAGCCCTAGGGGGGAAAGAGGGGGTTTCCAGGGAAATGAAACTCACTGTATCTCCTGAGAAACTATTTTAAAGGTTGGATGGCTGGGAATAGAAAATAGATGCGTATTTGAAATGTTAGTTTTAAAAACAACTTTTTTGAATTCCATTAGCTATGAGGTCCAGTGTGTGAGGAGGCACCTAAGGGAAATAATGATTTGACTTGGAAGGATTTCATGTACGATTTTCAGTTCTGGCCTTGCACTACTATAAGTAATTTGGCTTCTAGTAAATTATACCTTTCTCACCAAATGGAGTTAAGGTTCATTTTTACTTAGAAGATCAGATTGAGGCAGGTCAGATAATGGTATTTCTTGTCTTAAAAGATCCTTTTTCATGGTTATTGCCCTTCTTACACTTTGTCTGACTTTTTTGTTTGTTCTATTCAACCAGGTAAAATATTTTAATTGAGGAAGCGTATGTGATCTTGGTTGGGATGTATGCAGGTTGTTAAGGGGTTGGCTTGCTTTATTTATTCTGTTTTGGTTTTTAATTTAGTAATACTTTGTGCCACAAAGTATTATCTTATTGTATAAGCTTTTAAATAAATAAATAAAATAGAATCAAACCAAATGAGTATTCATATTCACAAGTAAAACAGAGTTTATAGTTTCTATCACAGTTAAAGAAACTAGAGAAGCCAAAAGCACTAGTGTTATTTTGGCCAAATCTATTAATTGCTTGAATTATTTTGTAAACCAAATTAAATATGTAGATGTTATTAAATATATAGAAATAGGTATACTAACAGAATAACAGAGTTGGAATGGAACTTGGAGGTCTTCTAGTCCAACCCCTTCCTCAAGTATGTGACCCTATATCATTTCAGACAAGTGGTTTTCCAATCTCTTCTTAAAAATGTCTTGTGTTGGAAATTTCTCCTTATATCTAGGTTGTTTCTTTCCTTGATTATTTTCCATCCATTGCTTCTTGTCCTGTCTTGAAGTGCTTTGGAGAATAGATAGACTGTCTCATCTTTGTGACAGTCCCTTAGATATTAGAGTACTGCTATCACTATGGACACACAAATTCCTTGTGGGTCAAATCATAGTTGGCCAATAAATAATATTCTATCATGTCTACTGTAGTTCTTCTTTTCATTAAATTAGAAATACCCAATTCCTGCAACAATTATTCATATGTTTTAGCCTCCAGCCCCCTAATCGTCTTTGTTACTCTTCTCGGTACTCTTTCCAGAATCTCAACATTTTTTTTTATATTGTGGTGACCAAAACTGGATTCAATATAAAATCTAAATAGATTAATAACCAAGTAAATAAACAAGTAATTGTCACCTGCATTATGCTATGTTATTCAGGCTAAATCCTGGTATGGGTTTACAATGTTAAGATGAACTCTGCTCATGATACCTCTTACCCTTCTCTCTTGAAATTTTGTCTTTGGGGCATGGAAAACAATCATAGCAGCAAAATGGCTTCCCTTCCTGCTTTTTATTGAAATAACCAGGAAGGCAGCTCTCAGTACACACAGAAACAGGTAGTATCTGCCCAAAACATGAAATAAAAATAACATTCAATCAGTTTTTTGATAAAAGAATTAAAATATCATCATTAATTAATATTTAGAAAAATAGAATGTTAATTGTGAGGACTTTTTTTCTCATCAACATCATCATCAAAATTATTCAAGAATGTTTTTTTTTCCCTCTGTTCTACTAATAATAGAAGTTACAGTATGTGATCTTGTTTCTTCTAAGCTGGAAACATGTTGAAATTAATTCAGTTAGATTCATCATAGCTAAAATATTTTTTCTAGTCACTTTACTTACTTTATATGCTAATGCAATGGTCTGGTATATAATGAAGGCATATAGGTATATAGGTGAAGAAGATAGAGCTTAAAAAAGGGCATACTCAAAAGAGATCACAATCTTTAAATGAAAATGCAGTGACAGCTTGGTCCCATGAGCCTGCTTCAGGACTAAAGCACCACACCAAACTGCTTCAGGACCCTGGTTTGCAGCAGAATTTCCTCATTACAGTTTCTTCTTCTCCTGCCTAAGGTTTGTAACTGATACCAAACTCAACATCTGGATGGACACATTTTGAAGAGGAAACATTTAATCTTTTCTATCCTTTCTTGCCAGATTAAAGATGAAGTTGTCACAGGGTGTAAATATTAGTGCAGGGATTATTATAGTGAGATCTGGCCTTTATGAGAAACAACAGCAATTAAAGCTTCTGTTCTTAGAATATGATAATACTTCAATCAATGTTTACATAGAATTTAAATAATGGAAATAAACAAACTAAATCCGGCAGGATGCTTATCAAGCAGTCAGTAGGTTCATCTCTCCTCCCCATAGCCACAAACTGGAACTAACTACTCAAAAAGCAATGTCTCCAACCCATAACTCCTGCAGGCATTCCAGGAGGATACTATGGTTTCATGCATAATCTTAATAATGGAAGAAATAATCTCATTACCACTTACTGCAGTAGAATGATTAGAGTAATTCTTCTTTTCCAAGAATTATCAATCTTTTTTAGCATGACTTTTTTTTTGAAAATCTTAATTTACGTTTCCTCCCCTAAATCCAATAAAGACAATTTGTCTCACTGATTATTATCAAATACAAAACTAATCTAATATTATGTGGGTATTCATCAAGCATACATGACATCGAATCTGAACTAATTCATTTCGGTAGTCTTTCAACTCCTTTTAAAATTCTTATATTTTGTTCTTCTAAATGTTTGATTACTTTTCAAATAAATCAGCAACTAGTCTTTCCTTTTAAACTTTTTACTGGATATCAATATGCTTTATTCCTGAAATATCCTTCTATGAAGGGTATTTCAAATAGTTTGTGCCATAATTAAAAGCTCAAAATCTTATTTGTAAAATAAAATAATCAGAACCTACTTGGTTGAAAGTGCTGTGCCAGGTGATGGCTTCAACATGAATGTTGAATTTTTCCTCTTCAACCCAGGGATCCATTTTCCCCACTTTTACTCGATGGAAGGATTGGTTTGGGAATGTGACCCAGTTTATAATATCAAATCCAACTATCAATTCCCTCCTCTGATTGAACAGAACCCTATCCCCAGCACTGTTATTAAATAAGACTCTGTTCAGGAATTGGTGGAGCTTAATATAATTGAATACACAAATGGTAAAAAAAAACCAAGATCAGTAATTAATACATTATGTTTACATCAACTGCTGCTATGTTTGCAGATATTCTACTTCCCCTGAACATTTGATGCATTACTACAATGTATAACTCTGGGACTTGCTGACAAAGCTTCATGCTCCTCATTCTCCCACAGAAAAACACATTCTTGTATGCCATTTCATTCACAATCATTACAATTATTTCAATATGATTTATGTTTTTATAGATTTTTTTTAAAAAAACCCACATTTTTGAATCCCAATCTCCAGCACTGTTATTAAAATTTTTCAAAAACTGATGGACTTGAATATCAATGAATATGCATATGTAAGTAAGACAACAGAATCAGTAAGAATTTGTAAGGCTAAAATAATACAAACTATATAAAAATATAAACCACAAAACCAACTGAGTTGAGAAGCTGAAAGAAAAAAAGTGTAATTTCCTGTTTATGTGGGGCCGACCTATTTCTTATCTAGCAAATAATATTATTACTGATCAATATTATTTAAAAACTGAAGAAACAGCAACCAAATTGATCCTGGAGCATGAAAGACTGCACTGACTTTCTAAAATCTTTGACATTGTTTATGAGTCAATTTTATCTTTATTTTTTAAAATTGGTTACAAAGGGTTTATTTCTTATTTTCTTCACATGCTAACAGCTTTTGTATGTGCTTTTTGAGAAAAAGAGCTAAGTATAAACAAACTGGATTAAATGGTTTGCTTTCATATTAAAGATTTTGATTCTGATATTAACTGGCCGAGATGTTCCTATCCCAATATATCAGATCCAGCAAATCTTTGAAATCTATCTCATGCAGAATTCTAAAAAAAGAAAATCCAGTACGCAAATAAAAGCTTTGGCAATATTAAGTCCCACTTGTTGCACTACCCTCTTTTAATCATGACATCCAAAGTTCCATTGAACTTCTCCACTAAACCACTTTTTGATCATTATGATGGGGCACATGGAAGAAGCCTCCTCATAGACAATTGTTAAAATGAAACCTTCAGTAGCCAGGTGCACCTTGGAAAACACTGGAAATATTACATCTCAAATCCTTCTCTCACCAGAAAAACACATGATTGTTTTTTTTCCCCAAATCCAGCCATTATTATTCTACTAATTTTAAATATTATATTTCTCTTTTTAATGTAAAGTGTCCTGGACTCATAAAATAAATAAAATGGGTGAGTGAAATGAGATGTTTCATATCAAGAGTAGCCCATATTTTCCACATCATTCCTGATTAGAAACGAGTTACTGAATTCATCAGGAGCACAATCATAAAAAGATTGCTTAAAACCTTATTTAGATGCTTTACACCACTGTTTATAGCTCACTTCTCCAGGATAGCTAGTAGCAGAGACCAAAAGAGTAAATTTATATAGTTTCTCACAAGGTGAAGTCCCACTCATCATCTTCAGGCTGGGGTCTTCGGCTTCATGCTTGTGCGAGCAAAGTGTGATCGGAGCTGCCGTCTCTCTATAAATATTGGTGGGGGTGTGTGGAGTGCTGGCTAAGTTGCTGTAGGTGGGTTGCTTAACTGTGTGGGAGTTATTGTTTGCAGATTGTATGGCTGTTTTGTAACATCCTGAGTAGTTGAGGTGATGTAGCATACCGGGCTTTGGTTTGGCTCTGAGTTTGCAGTCTAGCTCTGTGTTCATGGCATGTGTCCATTTGCTTTGGGGTCGGAGGGAGGTGGAGCAGCTGGTGATGTCATCGTGGTTTGGCTTCTGGATGGTGGTTGCATTTCGTCTGAGGGATGGGTTTGGGCTTGGGTTTGGGTCTGGTGAGGGTGAATGGTGGTGGCGTACTGTGTTGTTCTGGGTCCGGTGTCAGTTTTCGTGGCTAGGACCAGTTTGTTGATTAGGGCTAGTTTCTAGATGTCTGGTAGGTGGGAGGTATCGTCACGTTTATTCATGTTGTGGGGGTGTTTTTCTATTTCGATGGCTTCCATAATTATTCTCTTGTTGTGGTGTTCAGTTTTGGAGATTAGTTTGGTTCCTTCAAAATCTATTTCATGTCCTGTAGCTTTAAGGTGCTAGAAGAGGGAGGAAGTTTTTTCTTCTTTTCTGACTGCATTCTTGTGTTCTGTGATGTGGGCATTTATTCTCCTATTAGTTTATCCAATGTATGTGGCTGGGCAGATTTTGCATGATATTTCATAGACTCCTTGGTTTTCTAGCTGGATCCTGTCTTTAGGGTTTTTTAAGATGTTGGCTATTTTTTGGTCAGTGCCAAAGGCTGTCTTGATATTGTGTTTGTGGAGAATTTTGCTGATTTTATCTGTGGTGCCTTTGATGTAGGGGAGGAGGGCGATGTCGTTGTACTGTTCTATGTCTCGGTTCTTGGGGGGTGTTTCCCTTTGGATTAGGTTGGTAATTGTATTTCTTTGGAATCCGTTGGAGATTAATACGTTTGTGAGAGTGTGTAATTCAGTTTTCAGGTGATCTTTATAGGCTATGCATTTGGTTCTGGAGATGAGAGTCTTGGCTACGGAGTTGATCTGTGCAGGGTGGTGGTGGGATTGTGCGTTTAAGTAGCGGTTGGTGTGTGTTTTTTTCTGGTAGATGGTGTGTCCTAGGGAGCCATTGGGTTTTTTGTAGATTAGGACATCCAGAAAGGGGAGTTGGTTGTTAGCTTCTATTTCCATCGTGAATTGTATTTTGGGGTGTAGGCTGTTGAAACGTTATGGATACAATGCTGTGTTTTTGGCTGAGAAGCCAAATTATTTGCACAGAATATTGGTTGGATTTTAAAAGACAAGTAAAAGAGGAATCTGCAAATTAGTGTAACAAAGAACACAGTACTTGTGTTTGACTGGGGAAATGGAGTGAAAAATTGCATGTCATATACAGTATAAATGGTGAATACCTAGAGCAGGGAGATGAATTTATTGAAATGTGTCCTAAAGATAAGAATCAGATTAAAATATAAAACATACATATGTTGCTAATATATAGTCTATTTACTGTGCATAAGAGCACTTTTACTTTTTACATGCAAAGGAAAGTTAAGTGGTTATGCTAAAACATGAGTCAAGAATGAATGCTGGCTGAATGAACACAGATTAAATTCCAGGATAAAATAAGAAAATAAAGGTAATTTGACAGATTGAGAATAAATGAGAATTGAATTACAGAACATATTTATTTAAGGAAGAGTGAATGGAATGAGAGGAAGGGGAAAACTGAGAATTTCATGGAGATGAGATCCTTAAAAAGAGAGAGCTAAGGGGAGCTGAAGAGCAACAAGCAATGAATGAAGCAGTACATTAACCTGGGTGAAAGCTGGGATGGTTTGAAGGATAGAAAGGTATAAAATGTTATCATTTGTGTAAACAAGATTCACCTATATCCCTCATTTGTATTGTATCTCATCCCTTTATTTCTTTGGTTATACTTGATTTGTATCAAAAGAGTAAATCGTGTATGCATTCAGGTTTGTATATTGAGTGATAAAAAGGAAGAAGCATTTAGTACCTGCCATGGCTGTTGCTCCTGAATATTCATTTTTCCTCCTTCCCACCACATTCCTTTGGATTTTTGTTCTATATGCATGGCATGAAAAGCATGAGCTACAACATATACTGCATTATATAAATTGTAACTTTGGCCAGTCATGCTCATTTCATAAAAAGCACCAGGAAGATTCTCCAGTTTCTCCCTCAGAGTGCAAATATCACCATTTTTCTCATTCACCAGAGGACTGGGAAAAACACATTCAAATGCATGCACCCACACATCTTTGATAAAGCCATCTTCTTTTGATAAGAAATGGTCCCTTTTCTGAACAAATTGCTGAAATCCTGGAACTTCATTGGAGTAAACTGAAAAGGAGAGGGCACCATGGATGTCTTGAATATCCCAGCTTCTTTGGTAAATCACTGTTGCAAGATCCATTTGGGAGGGTATGACCCACACTTTACCTTTTGGCTCCATAGACAATGGTTCCATTTTAGGAAGATATAGTAACAACCTCAGATGTAGAAGTGTTGTTTCATAGACAATTACTATATTGGCTTTACTTTTCATAGTGAGATAAAATGTTTCTATTAGCCAATCCAATTCCTCAAATAAGTTACTGATATGTAATTGTTTAATTATTTTTAAAAAGGCAATGCAAATGCCATGAAGAGGAAAAGTTGAAAAGGTCATCTGCACAAATCTACCACCATCATCTCTCCTCACAAGTATCCCAACCCAGATCCATTTGAAATACACAAGCAGCTGAAGAAGTCCTTGGTACATCACATTTTCTTCTGGGACCATATGGTAGAAGGAAAATGATTCACTTTGATCCAGCATCTCTGGATGGGACCCATATATTAGCTATAAGAGTAAAAGGAAATGAATAGGAGCTTAGAGAAAGAGAAAGAAGAAACATTTGTTAAAATAACAACTGTACCAAATCTGTTGTAATTTGGGACGTCATCCTCAATCATCTAGCAAATTATTGTACACCAACCAGAGCCCCTCTCTGAGGGAGATGTGCAGTTATGAAATATAAACTATTAATTAATTAATTAAGTACATTTTAGTTTCTTTCAGAACTTATTTTAGCAGCCTTATATAAGCAGCCTATTGTATTCATCCGTGATAGATTTGTGGTATTAAAAATATTACATTTCAATGAAAAACGTGAATTTCAAATTGGTGCATTATGTTTTTCAGAATAAGATTTTCTAGGATTTTTTGAAAAAAATACAGTGATTGATCGATCGATCAATTAATTGATGAATTAAAATTTAACTTGTTTTTCATTGAAAATCAACATCAAAGGTAGGACTTAGTCTCCTCACTTGCAGAAAGGAAAGTGAGAAAGCTTATTGATCAGAAGGTAACACTGTAGCTTGCTTTGGTTGAATGTGGTTTATAATCTTCTCTTGTTCGTTCAATGCAATGTAAGGTGTTCCAGTTCAAAATAATTTGGGATTGTCACAAAAACCATTGCTATTAAGCAATTGTCCTTTTTCCTAATTTCATATGGTCACTTCTAAACATCATGAACCTCTCATCAGAGCCTTAAAATCATCCTATAAAGCCAAATTCGTTAGGCACATTGTTTCAGTTTTTAAGACATTCCCTTTCTTCATATGCTTTACTAATTAATGTAAAGTAAGTAAATATCAAGCACAAACATGTATGTTTCTAACATATACAGATGTAAAAGATTCATAAAAATCAGGATGACTTCATAAGATCCCATGTCTCACCGTACAACCTACCTGTGGAAATTTGTAGATCCTCAATATATCTGCCATGTCAATAGAGATTTCAGAATAAAGAGCCCCAATGACTGAAACCAAGTTGTTTTGGATCCCACATTTATAATTGGGGACCATTCTCTTCAGAGGTGAAAAAAGTTCCATTGTAGCATGATAAATCCATCTTCTACCATAACTGTCAAAAATATTGATGCCCAAGGTGACATTGGGCAAGATCTGAGGATTTTCATTAATCTCTTTCACAGCAAATATCAAAGCCAAAACATGTTGATAAAATTTAGTCTGGACTCTGGAATAATAATTGTACCTGATAAAAAGAGCTTGTTATCTTAGAGGAAACATTGTAACAAATATATGGTACATATTTTGCTTTCAAAAGCAATAATCCCCATGACATGCATTGTGTAACAAGTGTAGCATTTGATTTAGCTTTGTATAGTTTTTGAACAGAAAACATAAACATATCAGTGTCTTAAATGCTCTTCAATTTTAACAAAGATTTGAAATTTCTCTAATCTGAAAAAATCATAGCAATCATTAATTGTGACAATATGCTATTATATTAGTAGTCTGTCCCAGTTGTAAGAAGGAATTTCTGAATTCCTTAAGAAAAAGAATATCAATTCTATAAACAAAGTGAGGAACTCAAAAAGAAAATCATAGTTACAATTATAAAAATGCTTTAAAATATTCCTGTACAGCAATGGATTTTTAAAGATCCTTTTTCTTTTTTACTCTGCCAAAAATGTAGGATCATCTATTCTTCAGGTAGCATATTGAAACTTTTTTTTTAAATTCCTTTAAGAATCCCAGGGAAATTAATCAGAGCTGAATCATTTGAACTAGGTAAAAATACATCTTTCTCACTATAAGTAATTCTGATATATGCAGGATTATCTCAAACACAAATATAATCTGGAACCTCTTTCATCTGACAGTGGGATGGAAACACTTACATGACTTCATCAATAAAAGAAAGATGGGGATCTTCCATGAAGTTTTCTAGTTCTATAGGCATGAACATAAGAGAAGTAATGCCACCAATGATGAGATCACCAGGTTGGAAATAGTTGTGAGAAATAGGGCGGGGATCACCAATAATGCAGTTTCTCATGTCACTTTTCAAAACCATAAGAAATAAAAGCAAGAGGAAAATGATTATGGTCATTATGCTAAACATATATCTAAAGCAGACTTTGTCTAATAATTGTTAAGAATATACTTGTAAGATTTGCCTTACCACCCTACCATCACACTATTCACAAATATTCTGAAAGGTTGAATTTACCTTATCAGGAATTAGCTTGCTCATACTTCATCTGTGTTTAGATTAAAGCTACAAAATATTGGTAGCATTCGTGAGATCTGAGTCCTTGTTGGTTATAAGTTTGCCATAAAGACTTCAGCACCTGGCTGAATTAATTACAGTATTTATGATAATTACAGATGGTAGGAAGACCTGTCGTGGTCTGTGAAAAATTTGTTTCCTCACCTATGGCTCTGCATCTTAACTAGCAGGTTGATAGATCAACACAGGGTGTGTCAACTTTGAATGAGCCAATGTAATAAAAATAAATAGAATGGTGGAAGAAGAAAAAAATGTCCTGGATTGGGAATGTTAAAAAATGTTGTTTCTTCTGCAAAAGCATAAACATTCTAAGTAAAGAGCTAGAATTTCCAAAAATGACTGTCCACTCAAAATGGTGTCAGGATGGTTTCATAGCAAAGACCATCCATGTGGAGGGTCAACACTGATGTCACTCCTTTGCATGTCTATGGAAGTCATCCCTTTCACAAAGAATGGAACCTTTGTTGGGGAAAGTCACAGTAAGAGGTCAGCTATGCTACAGAAGAAGGCATGAAATAATATGTCTTGTCTCTGGAACTCTGACTTGATGCCTTTATCAAAGCCTAATTTGTTTTTAAAATTGTGATTCTCACTTTCTCCCATGTATTCATTTGCTTTCCACTAGTTGTTTCTCTCTGTGCATTCTCTGGTTTCATGACCACAATATATTTTTCACAATTTATTGTTTTTTAAAAAGATACAAAGTTAAAAGATAAACAGAACAGAAAATTAGAAAAGGAAAAGGATAGACAAGGATAAAAGACCCAGCAACCCCAGAAGAAAAAAACAAGAATCATCTACAACAGTGCCCCTAGCCTTTGGCATCAGGGACCAGTTTCCGTGGAGAAAGGTTTTTCTGCAGACCGGAGGGGCCATGGTTTTGCATGCTGCCTGCATCCCATGGAAGGGGGTTTCACTTTTTTGCGTGGCCCAGTTGCTGGCATGCTGCGACTTAGTGCCAATCCACAGACCAGGGGTTGGGGACTCCTGATCTACAACATACAATGTAAGAACTGCAATAACCACTGTGTTGGACAAACAGGCAAAAGATTGGCAGAACTCATCCATGAACACTAACTGTGAGTCAAAAGACATGAAGAAAATTCTTTAATTTCACAACTTATAAACAGATTTAATAATAATTTCAATTGGGAAAATGTGACAATCCTGGACTAGCACCTCTCCACCAATAATCAGCACTCAACTCAGCATAGATTAACTCCAAGGTCACGTTCAGACCAACAATCAAGTAAGCAATACCTCAATCAAAAAAACTGTGAAACAGCTATTAGTAAACAACCCAACCAAAGAATCCCTAAGACCACCCCCACCCACCCGGACAGGCAAGACACCAGACTATAAACTGATAGCAAACATCACTCCTTACTAGCCCTGATGATGTTACCTAGTTAGAGTAATGAAACATCTGCAAGAAAACAAGCAAGGATAAAAGTAAAAGTGCAGAAATGAAAAAGAAGAAAAAAGTAAATTTTATAGAAAAGGTTGTTATTTTTCCCATCTGAGCACATCTTTCTTAATTGCATTCCATATCTTAACATAATTATTGTGATACAACATACTTTTCATATTAGTCAAAATAACTCTGAAATTCAAACTTCTCAGTTTTGAAGCCAGTTTTCTTCATCAAAGCATCCTGATGTACTCATATTTTTAACCAATACCTTTGTTTTCTATAAAAATACCACCATTCATATTGGTCCTGCAAGATCCATACCAAATCATCAGCAAAGGCTCTCATTTAAAAAAAAATCATGTTTTGTATTTAAACACATTATTTTTTTTCATTTGGGCTAAATGAATTTTAAATGTATTTAAAACTTTAAGGACTTAAAACTTCAACAAAGGAGACAGAAGACATGTACAACCTTATTTTATCCTCTTCTGAATATCACAAAGTTTAATCAAATTTACAATTCAAGCCTTCAGAGATATATACATCAACTTGATTCCATGAAGAAAACTATCACCAAAATCCATATCTTTCATGACACTAATATAGACACTTGACTATATTGATTGTTCTACTACTGTCCAAAACCCATATCTCCTGAAATAGTTCTTATCTAATTTTCCATTTAGTCTTCTCTGTATTCATTTTGCAGTGATTGAAAAAGTGAGGAGACTTTCTTACAAGGCTCAGGTCCACTATTGCTGAACCATGTGGCCCTACTTGCTCTTTCTTTCTGCCCTCAATGATGAAGCCTGAAGAGGAGCCCTAGTATCTGAGTGAAGTCTTTTGCAGCCAGAGAATTTTGCCCACTGTCTCAATTTTTATGTGGCAATATCTTCTTCTTTGCCATCTTCCAATTTACTGCAGTTCCACTGTTGGCCCCATTGCCTCTATTTCTCCAGCAGGCCCAACTGCTCTATCTACTGTAGCCTATAGGCCAGCTTGATTAGCACTTTCTTCTTTGATGCAAACTGCATTTCTATGACTGAGCTACTGCTGGCTTTTGCTGTCTTTATCTGTAAGTACCTTTGGCATTCCTTCGAGAGAATTTATTACAGAATGACATCCCATCCTTTTAATTATGAACATATTAATAACCCCAAGCTTTGGAAATTTAATTTGCACTTAAATTTGTCATTATTCATATGGGTCCCAGGTATGGAGATGATGCAATACTTTTTTCCTCATTTTTTCCTGGTTCCAAATGTATTCTTTCAACTTAAGATTTAAGTAATCATCATCATCATCATCATCATCATCATCATCATCATCATCATCATCATCATCCCAATTACCTGCTTACCAACAACTTTCAAATTGCTAACTGGGGTGGTAGCTGATGCAGTACAACAGCATCTAGTTGAAAACGATCTCTTTAGAGGAGTACTTCTGGTGAAGGAATGAGACGGCCATAGGAGGCTGGGTCCCCAGCCTCTCAGTCCAGTTTCGCTTCACCTAGCATCTCTTAAAGGGACAGAAAGTTGCCCTGGAGGGGCAACGAAGAAAGAGGGATCTTTCAGGAGCTTGGATTTGGTGGCGATCAATCTAAGCATACTGAATACCTCCTCTAAAGGGGCAAAAGAAAGGTTGCCAGGAGAGCTGAGGCAGCCCAAGTTGTCTGCAGCCGGAAGGGAAGCTATGAGAAACAGCTGATCTCCAACAACAAGTTATGTCTGGGTGAGCTGAAATCTTTTCCTTCTCCTTGTGCTTGAAAATATTGAGACCCTGAAAGGGAGAACTTGAAAGAGTAAAAACCCCCAGAGAGTCTTTTGGAGCGGCAATTTAACATTAAGGGGAAATGTTAAATGAATAACAAATTACCGGACTACCAGAGAGTGGAGAGTTGATAAATAAGCCAAGAGGACAACTACTGGCGAAAAATAAGAATTAAAATAAGAATTAAAAACACAGTGACCTTGAAAAGCTTGAGTAAAACAAAGTCTTGGTCTGAGATAATAAATGAAAGACTGTTTATAGCTATACTTGTTGACATTGGCTAAAGACTAAATAGACACTATTTGGGGAAAAGAAAAGAAAAAGAGAACATTTTAAATCCAAGAAGAGACTGGAGGAGGTAGTTTTGCCTCACAACAGCTGATTCCTGATTACGCTTTGGATATAAGTTTAAGACTGTGAGCAATAAAATGAGTACATCTAATATTTCCAGACTTGCAAAGAAAACCTCTTCAGCGCCCTCTGTCGGACAAGCCAGCCCAACAACCCAGAGTTCTGTCAGCACATTGCTACAGCGTGAAAAAGCAAGTACGGCCCAAGAAGAAACAAAGGCCTCTTTAAAATTAATTCAACAAATTTTGCAGAAAAACCATGAGGAAACACAAAGTAAACTGGAGAAAGTAAGTGAAGAAATTACGGATATAAAGGCACAATTTGAAGCTCAAAATCAAAAGATTATAAAAAATGAACAGAAAATCTAGGAAATAGAAAATAAAACTCAAGACATTGACAAAAAGGTGGAAATGTTACTGCAAAAGAATGAAGGACTGGAACAAACAAATCAAGAGCTAGAACGGGCTATGGCAATGGTAGAAATGAGAGAAGTGGAACATTACTTGAAGACAGTGAAGAAAATATAGAAACGGTGATTATTGAGCTGTTGGCGGAACTTTTAAATGCAGACCGAGTAGACATTCAGAATGAGACCGATCAATTTTTTCGAATGAGTTCAAGCTATGCAAGAAAAAACAGATTACCAAGAGAAGTGCATGTGAGGTTCATGAAGAAATCAACAAGAGATGAAGTACTGAGAAAAGTAAGAGAGGAACCCTTTCAATATAAAAATAAAGAAATTGTGGTCCTAAAACAGATACCCAGAAGAGTGAGGGACACCCGGAGACACTACCATTTTCTAACTACAAAATTGGTTGCCAAAGGCATAAATTGCAGATGGCTAATGCCAGAAGGCATTTTAATAAACTGGAACAATACAAGATATCGACTGGACTCAATTTGGAAAGCAGAGGACTTTGAAGTAAGAAATAGAGTAATTTTGGATGAAGGATTGCAGCAACAACAAGAGGATAAGCAGACGGGAGAGACGGCCCAAGGAGCAACGGCACAAGCAAAACATCAGCAGGAGAAAAGTGAACAAACAGGTGAAGGAGAAGGAACTGCCAGAGAACAAAGGACTATAAGATCGACTAGGCCAAAATACAAGTAATGAAAGAGGAAATGGAGAAAAAAAATGAGATTTTTTCAGTAAACGTAAATGGACTAAATTCCCCAATAAAAAGAAATAAAGTTTTTAGGAAACTTCAGAAATTAAATATAGATATAGTCTGTTTACAAGAGATACACATAAAAAAACAACATTACAAATTTTTGGAATACC